TTTGCAAACCAGTGCAAGATTTAAAAAAAAAACATATAAAGACAATGTAACTGTAGCCAGCCTATATTTGTGGAAGTTTCTGCTCCTTACAGATGGACTCATCCACCACCCTGCTCCAGTTGTGGTGGAAGTTTCTGCTCCCTACAGATGGACTCATCCACCCCTGTGCTCCAGTTCTTGGGGCAAAAACCAGTTCTTTAAGACTTTAAAAAAGCGAATAGATTCAAGGCCATTTGAATCTTGTGGGATAAGCTGTTCCAGAGGCTGATGCTGCAACAGAGAAGGCATGCCTTCTGGCTCTGCCAGATGATACTTTCTTACAGAGGGGACCTAGAACATCTTGCTCATTTGGATCTCTTGGGGTAGGCAAACTCAATTGAAGATTGGCTGTCCTGCAACTAATCCAGCCCTGTACCATAAAGGTGTAAGCAGCAGCATGAATTGTTCCCAGAAGCCTCCTGGAAAACAGTAACAACACATAACCCTTATTGTGTATTCTCCTCATCAGAGCAAATGATCACAAATTTGAAACATAAGTCTATCAAAAGACAACGAAGTGCTCTGTTACCAAAGTAACAAGTCAATCTCCCACAAAAGGAGCTGTGTAAGTACAAGGCACTGCAGCAACCCAGAACACCAGAAAAAGGAAACAGACTGCCTATACAAAATGGGATACCCACACTTCATGCCTGACCATTCAGTTACTGCAGCACAACCAACACAAGCTATGAAAAGGATAACACTGCCACACATCAAAACAACTTAGAAACAACCAATAGACCATTACAATCATACAGTGTCAAAGTAGAACAGAAACTAAGGTCCTCCAAAACATTGTAAGTAAACGAAAATACCTAGTTGTCTAAGAAGAACAAACAGGAATGATCTACAACATATAGTGTAAAGACTGTAACAGACACTATGCTAGTTATTAGAGCCAGTTTGGTCTAGTGGTTAAGATACCAGGCTTACAACTGGAAACCAGTTGTAGTCTCGCCTTAGCATAAAAGCCAGCTGGGTGATTTTGGGCCAGTCACTTACTCTCAGTCCAACCTATTTCACAGGGTGGTTTGGGGGAAAATGGAAGGAGTATTAGGTATGCAGGATTCAATCTGAGTCGGTCATTGGGACCAAAGGTTTATTCTTCCAAGCTTCCGGAGTTGTGTTGGAGCCCATCCTCAGGGAACTTCTCTCTCTCCAGAATATTTGCACACATTCTGGAGAGCGACATATTCCCTGAGGATGGGCTCCAACACAAGTCCAAAAGCTTGGAAGAATAAATCTTTGGTCCCAGTGACTGACTCTTATTGGATCCTGTAACATTATCCTGGGACATGTATGTTTGCCTTCATTCATGAGTATTAGGTACGTTTACCATCTGGAGTTATTTATAAAAATAAAGCGAACATCTACGCAGGGGTTAATACCAAGTAATTAAGCAGGAAGCAGCATCCTAATCAAGGAACTATATAAGTAGACCTTGATTTACAACTGTTCATTTAGCAACAGTTTGAAGTTAATGACAGTGCCAAGAAAAATGACTTACAACTGGTTCTCAAACTTAATGATCAATGTAGTGACCCTGCTGGTCACATGATCAAAATTCAGGCATTTGGCAACTGTTAACGAATTTACAATGGTTAAAGCATTTTGGGGATTATGTGATCGCCATTTGTGATCTTCCCAGGTGGTTTCCAATAAGCAAAGTCAAGAAGGGAAACCAAATTTGCTTAATGACAGTGGCAAAATTAACAAAATTGGGTGTTACTCACTTAACAATTGGATTTCTTAGCAGTAGAAGTTCTGATCCCAACTGTGGTTGTAAGTTGAGGACTATGTGTACCAAGGAAAAAAAACCACACCTACTTCAAAACTGGCAGGGCAAGCTACTGTAGGAAACCCCTTACTCACACTGGTAATGATGCCTAGTTGGGTAATAAAATGTCTGCAAGCAAACAACCAAGCTCAGAGAGCACCAAGATCTCCACAGTTCCTGAGCTACATACTGTACATTCCCTGCTATGGAAGAAATGGATTTGTACATAGGCTCTTCTGTTTATGATTGCCATCTACTTTTTAAGTGGGAGAGATAGAGAGTCGAGTAGTTGGACTGATGGAATTAAGGATGTTCTCCCTTTCTTATGATACTCAGTGTTTTTCACCTTTTAATTTTTTTCCAAAGGTATATCGCATGAGATACATGGCAGGCTATTTCTGTTGGCCAGCCAGATTAAAATGTTCTACTAGTAGCACTCATGTGTCAGGGATATAAATGTTCTTAACATGCCAACTGATCTGTCTGATTGTCCAGGCTGTGTAGAGGAAAAGCTGTTGTCCAGCATACTAGAAAAGCACTTTAGATTCAGAGTAGTAGTATCTTCCTGTGGACTGATGGAGAATCTACCCTAGGGAGCTTTAGCTTGTGGGAAAACGATAATTGTGATTCATTCTTTGTGCTTTAAAAAGTCTGAGTAATGTCTGTTTAAGATTTAATGAAGAGTAGAATACAAGAGTGAACACTTCACAACCACATTTTGGAAATTTTGCCAGATGTCTCAACTTGCAACTGTGAATGGGGGAGGGGGAGAGGGGCTTGGTCCTCAACTGTAATAATTAAGTGCCACTAAAAAAAATCAGTAAGGAGGAAAATATTGTGGCTATTAAACTTCAACCTTAATGGATAAACTAAACATAGTGGTTTAATATACAGTATTTGCATTTAGTGAGCCGCAGTTTGGAAATAAAAAAAATCCGCAGCTGCAGGGATTGATCTTTTTCAGATCAAAGCAGATATGAAGAAAGTGAAATGTATCTTTTCTTTTCCCACCTACCCCCAAGCACTATTTGCCTTGTAAGGAAATTCATAATCTGTAACAGTGGGGATTTTCTTCCTGATGCTAATATTAAATGCAGTTTTTTTCCAGGATAAGAGCAGAGGCGCAGAAGAATATGTTTCATGTCATATACCTGCTGTGCTCTGGATTATTATCAGTCTCAAGCCAAAGATAGATTTAACTTTATGTCTCATTTAGTCCTAAATGGAAATTTAGGATGGATGTTCAAAGATCAGCTTTTACCGAATAGAATACTGTGTGGAATTGTTGTGATCTAACATGCTCCACGCATTAGGGATACATCTGCTAGCTGGTACTATTATGTTGTCCATTCTTTGCATCCCTGGAAGCAGGAACGCCAAAAGTTACATCTGTGGGAAAAGTGATTAAAGAAAATTTGAAGGTGCACGTTTACATGATAACTGATCTAGCTGTGAGCTGATTGGCATTATGGTATGCAAGTCAGAACTGTCACCCGGGTGGGCTAAAAGCAGGGCAGTAGGGACCATATATATGTGAACTGCTGCGCTTCTCTGTGTGAGGTAGTTGTTCTCTCACTCTTCTTGTCTTTATTTGGCAGTTGAGTTAATTTGCTCCTACCTCAGCTTGGGTCCTTGGAAATATCGCTTCCCAAATATTCTTTTAAGCTTCGTAGGATTACGGTACTCGTTGACTGAGAAACTAGAAAACCTACTACGCTGAACTGCAGTGAGAGAATAAAGAAACCGGTTTTGCCTCTCAAAACCGGAATGAGTAAAATACACATTTTCTGTTTACCTCTCTATGCTTTCCTGAGGCCGTCTTGTGTACTTCGAAGGTGTTCTGAGCTACAGGTGAAAGAAGTCAGAAGCTGTGTCTCAACCATTTGCATTGAATAATGTTCTCTCCTTTGGAGAAGTAGCCTTGGAATGGCTCTTTCAGTGGCTGCCTATAGGAGAACATTTGTAATTGTTTCATGTTTTTGTTCCGTGAGTTAAAAGCTGGGCCGAGGGCCCCCTCTGGCCTTTCGAAGCATTCAAAGCAATGGCAGCATTTCTTACAGTCCTCTATACTGTCAAAGTATTAAAGGCTTCTTGTGGTGTGTTGGCAAAGTGATTGACACTAAGCTGAAGCAGGTGCAGAGAGTGTGGCGGCTACCTCAAAGCTACGTGGGAGTGAGCAGCAAGACTGGGAAAACAAACCATGGGTCCTCTGTAAGACTGTTGCATGTATGGTTCTCTGGAGGGCAGCTGGCTTTTTTTTTTTTAATCGATGCACCGAGATTGAATTGAGGCTGGGGAGGGGGGTTACCGCAACCTTACATTTATAGTTTCTCTATAAACTAGTTGAACTTGGTTGAAGTCAGTCTGTTATTCTATTTCTGCCTTCTGCAGATTAAGGGCATGCATTTTATATTCCTTAGTTATTTCTCTGACTCCTTCCTTGTGCTATTTATGTGGGCTTAAATAGCCTGGGAAACTTTTTTTTTTTTTTTAAGATGAAAGAATGCAAAGAGTTGAATGCTCTGGAAAGAAAAAAGGGCATCCCTAATCATCCACCCACTGTCATATTCTGCTCTCCCAAAGAATTGGCTTAACCAGTCCAGCTTTTATTATGCAATAGTGGCAAAAGGTTCGCTGCATGGTGCATGATAAGGAATAATACTAATAAAAAAGGAAAGAGCACTTATCTATGGGCACAGTGAATTTTCTCCCACTCCAACTGCAAGAGAAGCCAAGTAGAATGTGAGGGGCCCATACATTCTGTGTTTGAAAACAAATGTCTTAAGAAGCAGAGCTTCTGAACTGGGAGACAAGGCTCTTCTTCCCCACTGCTAACAATTTTTCCCCTTTGCTTCTGTTTGCAGACCCAAGGAATCACCATGTGGTCTCACTTCCTGAGAACAGTTCCTGAGGGCCAAGGCTGTCAGATTTCCATCCTAATGAAACAGTGACAATGAGAAACTGCTGGTGTTTTTATCTGAGAAAGGAACTTTGAATGGATTTGCCATGGTGACATGAAAAAGGACCAGGATGGATAATGGACTGTCACAGGGACAATTCCATACAAGTATGGCCTCTTTGTGAAACTATCTCCAGTCTTTCCTGAACTGAGTCCTGGAGGGAGGGAGGGGGGAAAGGTGGGTGGGGTGGGGAAGGAACCTGAAAACTCTTTTCCAAAGCAAGGATGACTTTAGTAAGGATCCGGAGGAGCTTCCGGCAGGTATCTCCTCAAGTGGTGCTCTTCTTACTCTTTGCCTTCTGCCTGCTCAGTGTTTTTGTCTCAGCATATTATTTATATGGGTGGAAGAGGGGACTGGAACCCTCTGGGGATATCCCCAGCCCAGACTGTGATGAACCGAAGATTGCTCCTTCACGCCTGCTACCGATAAAATCCATCAAAGTGGTCGATTCTTCACGGACTGATCCCTTGGTCCTTGTGTTTGTGGAAAGCCTTTACTCTCAACTGGGACAGGAGATTGTGGCCATCTTGGAATCTAGTCGTTTCAAATATCTGACAGAGATCGCTCCGGGGAAGGGAGACATGCCTACATTGACTGACAAGGACCGAGGGCGCTTCGCACTTATCATCTATGAGAACATTCTGAAGTACGTGAACCTGGATGCCTGGAATCGTGAACTCTTGGACAAGTACTGTGTAGAGTACGGTGTAGGAATCATTGGCTTTTTCAAGGTATTTCAAAGTTGAGAAAGTGTTTACTAAAACAATGAGAAGAGGAGAAGTGATATACCAGTGATGGCAAACCTTTTAGAGACCGAGTACCAAAACTGCAACCCAAAACCCACTTATGTATGTCGGGTGCTAGGTGGGCGTGGCCCATTGGGTGGGTGTGGCCCATTGGGTGGGCATGGCTTCGGTGGTAACGGCAGACTGGATGGGACTAAAAAGTTCAATCAATCAATTCCAACTTTGCGAGATCTTTTTTTTTTCCACGAAAAGTTGAAATTGATGGAGGCCTAAAGGGAAAAGGTTTTATAAAACCCAGCTGAAGGCCTAGGACTGGGGCGATGGCGCACGTGCCCACAGAGAGGGCTCTGCGTGCCACCTGTGGCACTCGTGCCATAGTTTTGCCACCACGGTGATATACTGACTTCTAGAGATAAGATTTGAGCAACAGTGAAAAGCAGAATACTATATGCTAGTCTATTCCTATTGCCCAGTGAAGTTATCAAAGGAGAACTATGAAATTTCAGGTTGCAGTTCTCTTTCCCGATTTCTTGTGAGAGATGATTCTTTGTTAATATTCCCCAAGGTCTATTTGTGCTTCTCTGCAAAAAGATGCTGAACTGAGTAGCTAAGTATCCTTTATTTTTGACATGCAATGTTGTTTGTTTGTCTTTACAATTCAGAGGTAGAGAGATACTTCATACCTGAGATTTTAAGAAGGCCAGAGGCATGCAACACCATATTGTATATCCTAATCAGATACTTACAGTAACTGTATCTACAAAGTGTCCTGAAATTAGTTTACTTCACATTTTATCCATAAAATTAGATGGTAATACAAAGCTAGTGTGAGAAAGCCTTCTCCTAGCAGATGTCTCCATAGTTGCTGGCCTGAATAATTCATCTTCTTCGCAAGGTTATGATTGCTGGGAAGAGTGGGAATCTGAGAGTCTAAGAGGACACCCAAATTGCTCACATGCTTGACTAGGGAAGTCACCCCCAGGCAGAGTTAAAGATGGAGAATTTCCAGAACCGGGGACCCTAAAAAGTCATACCCATTCAGTTTTGCCAAGGTTGGAATGAAGTCTGTCCTCTACCCAGACCCTCACAATCTCCAGGTACTGGGAAAGGATCATTACTTGATTAGCCTAGGGCCCTAGGCAGAGATCTCCGGCTACCATCAGCATACAGATCATCTCCCCCAGCTGTTCCATGTGAATGTTAAATGCAGCCCTGAGGTACCCCAAAGCAGAGGCCTGTAGCTCAACATTTCCCAACACCAACTAGAATCGGCCCTGGAGAAAAGAAGCAACCATCATAACTCTGTGAGCTCCATTCCTAGGAGGATATCATGATCAGTGTTATGAAAGACCACTGAAAGATTAAGGAGGTACAAGATAAATGTAGTACCCCTATCCTGGGCCCACCAAAGGTTATTGCCAAGCATATCCAATGCCATTTCAGTACTGTGGCTTTGTACTGAATCCTGACCAGATATTCTGTTTTTTTCTAAGGCCCACTGGAGTTGTAAGCCAACTATCTTCTCAGTAACCTTTCCCCAAAATTCCAACTAGTTTTGTGGTCTAAGATGGAACTAAAACTCACAATTTCTCAGTTTTTAGCCTAGTTCTTAATCAGTACTACACTTGATCTTAACTAAACTAAGATCATAATAAAGGTTTTGATCAGTATGCCAAACTGGTTGTCTGGAAGGTGTTTAGGTCACAGGATTTACCCTGGTTGAGTAATATAGACAAATTCAATCTCTCTCTCTCTCTCTCTCTCTCTCTCTCTCTCTCTCTCCCTCCCTCCCTCCCTCCCTCTCTCCCTCTCTCCCTCAAAACATGTTTTAGTTCTGTAAGACTTCCATTGAGAGCCATCCATATCTGTCCCCTGAAAAACCATTTTGGGAAGTGTGAATTAAGAATAAGAGAAAACATTAATGGACAAGGAGCATACTTTGACCGTAATCTTAGAACAAGTTTCTTATGTCCCTTATTTGATTATGTATTGATATATATATATATTTCCTCTTGCAACATTTTGGATCAAGGGCAGTGCCATTATTTATTTTGCATTAGCTTAATGGCAGAGACATGCAGCCAGATGCTATGAGCAGCTCTGGACTCTGTGAGGAATTAAATGAACCACCATAAATTTAAATCCTGACATTTTATAATTCTCAGAGTGCATGAGCACTGGATTCTTGCTCTCTGCAGCAAATCTTGAAACAAGTAACCTATTCATTTCTTATTAGGTTGCTTGTGTCTGCTCAGAGAAAAATGCCATCTGGAGTTTGAATGCTAGAGAGCAGATCCCCCACCCCCAGGTTTGTTGTTCTGTCATATTCAGTGTCACACGGAAGCGCCTTCAGGATTTCTGTTCTCTGTGCTCTCCTTCCCTTCAATCTGCTGATATTTAAATTAGAGATAAGTAATGACTATGGATTCCATTCTTTCCCTTTTATAACGGGCAGCTCAGAGAAGGGTTTTTTTTTAATATGGTGACACTTATAAAATAATTAGTTTAGACAGTTAATTAGCCCAATCCACTGCACAGGGTTGTTGTGAGAAAGAAGGCAGAAGTATTCTGTATGCTTGCCACCTTGAGTTATATATAATCTGGGTTCTTCTTCTAAAAAAGATTCATGTTAAAATTGGTAATAAAGTGCTCCATATTCCCTTGCAAACTGGATCCTCCAGTTGCTGAAATGCATATACCAATGACAATCTTATGATTTGACTGAAGATGGCAAATGTGTTGACTGTTTTAGGAATGTAATTTATAGCTCAGTGTTTCTCAACCTTGACAATTTTAAGGCATGTGGACTTCAACTCCCAGAATTCCACAGCCAGCATTGCTGGCTGTGGAATTCTGGGAGTTGAAGTCCACATGCCTTAAAATTGTCAAGGTTGAGAAACACTGTTATAGCTTAATCAAGACCAAAGTCTCAGTGCTTCTAAAAGAAGGGTCTGGGTTGGGGTCATCAGTTCTGGCAATATGGTGGGGGGCGACAGTAGCAAAGTCCACATTCTGGATAGGGATGATCATTGGTTTGAAAGAGGGGTAAAAGAGGCCATTTATGTTAACATTGAGCTGCCCTCTCTCAACAGAGGGGGAGGGATAAGGCACCATCTCTGTCCCACCTACAACATAGTCTTTGCAGCAGTCCCAAGAAGATTCCACCCTCATTTGCACTCACTCTTGATACCCTGAGGGCACAGATAAACCCCCAAGTGACCTCAAGAACTCTCAGGGAGCGTGCTGACAACCAGATGACTACAAAGAAATATGATCCTTCCATCCCCATCCTATCAGAACTAATTCTTCCATTGCCCCAACATCCTTCTAGAACCAATTATTGGATGAGAAGCGAAGCATATTCTTCTTCCGTAGGGGGGGGGGAAACAGTCCAGTTGGCCTTTTGAAAAAGCACCTTTGAGACAACTATGACCTGGATGACTGAGAATAGCCAGAGACATAAAGTTACAATAGTAAGGTCACCCTCCATGCCTGTAATAACGTCCCCTACCAGTTTATATTGAAAACAAGAATTTAGCTGTGGCTTCTGGATGCTGCACGAAAGCTTTTGAATGGGGAAGCTATTGAATTACATACCTCTGCTCAAAGTGTTTAGCGTCCTTTGGCCTTTTAGTTTGAGATCGGACATGTTAAGCAACTGGGACACCATGGAGGCGCATTGTGCTTTCTGAAGAGTCCATTGAGCAGAGAAAGATGTTATCTCCTTGATGGTAGGCTGAAATTCTCTTTGCTTGTCATTGTTTTTACTGTGGCCTGACAACTTCCTGTCTGAAGTTGTCATTCAGTTCATGTGATCTCTCTGCAGGCGAACGAGAACAGCTTACTGAGTGCTCAGCTGAAAGGTTTCCCCCTTTTTCTCCACTCCAACCTTGCACTGAAGGACTGCAGCATCAATTCCAAATCACCGCTGCTGTACATCACGCGGCCCAGCGAGGTAGAGAAGGGACTTCTTCCAGGGGAGGACTGGACAGTCTTCCAATCAAACCATTCCACATATGAGCCAGTCCTCCTTGCTAAAACCAAGTCAGCTGAATCCATCCCACACATGAGCATTGATGCTGCACTCCATACCACCGTCGTACAAGACTTGGGACTCCACGATGGCATCCAGAGAGTCCTTTTTGGCAACAACCTCAACTTTTGGCTACACAAACTGGTCTTTGTGGACGCTGTTTCATTCCTGACTGGCAAGAGGCTTTCACTTCCCCTTGACCGTTACATCTTGGTAGACATTGATGATATCTTTGTTGGGAAGGAAGGCACACGAATGAAGGTGGATGACGTCAAGGTAATTGCTCTTAAACCAGCATATTGCTCTTTGTTTTTAGGGTTGTGGGTTGATGTGGGGCCTGTCGACCCTTGAGTTCATGTCACTGAATGAAAAGTTTAAATGGGTTCCGTTGATGCTCAGATCAGTGACCTAGATCCCAGAATTCTTGTTGCTTGTTCTATCTGCTAGCATATAGTTTGGATTACAGGTGCCTAAATTGATCTAGCTATAGATGGGTGCACATGCACTAACACAAAACACTTTGCATAAAACAGGAATCTTCTGCATGTGAGATACTAGACAATTTTTGACATCAGAATGCAATTTTCTCTGGAGAGGAATTTGTTTTGAGGAGATTAAGAAAAATAGTATTTTATAAGCAACTGACCAGTAAAGCTCTGATCTTGGTCTGATGGTAATCACCAAAGGGAGGAGGGAAGGGGGAGATGGGGGAACCTTTGAGCTATATAGCAGACATTGCTAGTTGGAGCAAGATGTTTTTGAAAAGTTTTATTTCATGTCATTTGCTACTTTTTGAAGAGCGGCAAGGAAAAACATAAATCATACAATCTGTCCAGAGTTACCCTGTGGTAAGATGGGCAGATAATAAATTTGATAAATAAATACAATAAATTGCCTTTTAAATTACTGGCCATTATTTTTCATATTTTAACAAGATTTTAACATATCTCAGTAAAGATGTCTACTGAACCCTCTAGATCAGGGGTCCCCACTATGGGGCCACAGCCTGTTTCCAACCGGGCTGTGTGATGAGCAGGCAAGCGGCGTGCACGAAGCTCCACTCACGTGAGGAGCAAGCGCTTAACTGGAGGGTGCATGTGCTTGGGTGTAAAGCTTTGCTTGGGTGAGCGGACAGCGTTTGCACGTGAAGCTCCATTCACAAGAATGGAGCTTCATGCGTGAGCACTTTCCTCTCGCACAAGTGGAGCTTCATGCATGAGCACAAGCACCTGCTCACACGCAAAGCTCTATTTGCACAAGTGGAGCGTGCACATGCCCACTGCTCATGCCAATGGAACTGTGTGCGCATACGTCCGCCTGCCACTCACATGCCCCCCCCTTGCCGGACCGGGCTGCCAAGGTGGAAAGGTTGGGGACTGCTGCTCTAGATAGTCATTTAATAAATATGTATCCATCAAAAATTGAAATAACAAGTGTTCCCTAACTAAAGACTCAGTTTGGCAAGATCTGAATGTGCTGAATGAATATTTAACAATTTTTCCTTATACATCTCTACTTCTAAATAGAATTTATCTAATGGATATCCAACATGGATATGGTTCATAAAAGATATCTCAAGTGAATTTAAATACCTGTTCATATCAGAAAGGCGATATGTGAGTCTGAAGATTGCTTTATTAATAGTGATCTCTGAACTTGGATATTGCAGAATACATCTGTAGTTTACAATATAGCTGTCCTGTAAAACAGGGGTCCCCAACCCCCGGTCCATGGACTGGTACCGGGCCACGACATGCCAGCAACTGAGCCGTACAAAGAAGCAAAGCCCCATCCGCAGGATGCAGGCAGCACACAAAACCACACACCCGCCGGTCTGTGGAAAAACCTCTCTCCATGTAATCGGTCCCTGGTGCCCAAAAGGTTGGGGACCTCTGCTGTAAAAGTAAACTTCTAGTATGCATGTGAATTAATGAAATGCATATATTAACACATGTTAAGGAAAATAAATATCTGAACTAGCATACATTCTTGTTTCACTTTATATGGTAGCGTGGAGCTTGATGTTGCCTAGCTTTTATTTTTTAACTTCTAGGGCAGTATAAAATATTTTTTCAATACCTAAGAAGTTCCTTCCTCTCACAGCAGGAACTGTAGACTGGCCTGCTACAATACCCCGTGTGACATTCAGTCAAGTATTGCAACTCTAGTGTTAATGTTAGCAACAACAGTTCAAGAAGACAAGGATGCTGTTTGCACATTTCGTTCTTGAATATGTTGTTGAATGTTTTTGAAAGTCAATAGACGATGGTCAGCTTTTCAGAAAACAGGAATATCTCATTTAGAATTACTCATTTAGGGAACCAAGTGATAATTAAATAACATTACAGTAATAGAATGCTCAAGATGTAGAAATACCACTGTAACCATGACTCAAAGTTATTTCAAATCTGAAGAAAGATTATGCGAATGTGATCAATATCTATGATAGAATGTCCAGAAACTTCCAATCTTGTGAGTAATTGAGCAAGGGTTTCTGTTATCTGCAGTAATCCATACTCATGCAGTAATCTGTGCTATATATGGGCTTTTGGCAAAAAGAATGGGAAATTAAAAAATAATAACAGAATTAACAGAATAATAGAGTTGGAAGTTCTTCTAGTTCAACCCTCCAGCTGGAGACCTACCATTTCAGACAGATGGTTATCCAATCTCTTCTTAAAAACCTCCAGTGATGGAACACCTACAACTTCCGGATGTAGTATTCCAAGTGTGGTCTTACCAAGGCCTTATAAAGTACTAACATTTTGTCAACCTCCGGCTGAAAAGCCCAACCTGGCAAAACACCAGAGCTATTGCGTTCTCTAATGCAGGGGTCTCCAACCATGGCAACTTTAAGACTTGTGGACTTCCAACTCCCAGAATTCCTCAGCCAGCTTTGCTGGCTGAGGAATTCTGGGAGTTGAAGTCCACAAGTCTTAAAGTTGCCAAGGTTGAGGACCCCCGCTCTAATGTATACTTTATTGAGCAATAACAAACCGGTAGGATTAAAGTGAAGCTAGCTCTGAAGAAATGGCGGGAAACAGTTAATTAAAAGAACGAAACTCTCCCTCCCCTCTCTGACAGTTCAGGTCACATTGTCCAATACATCTTCCAGCGATTATTATGAGAAGAAACTTCAGTTCGCCAAACAACTCTTCAAGCCAAAACAATTCTTCAGTGGCTTTGGCTCTCATGTTGATAAGGACACCTGTGGATTCAAACCTTTCCCCTTCCCCTTCCCGTCCTATTGGCAAGCTAAAAGCACGCACTGGTCCTAAAGCCAGTAGGTTTCGTAGCTTGACACACTTCACATGATGTTGATTCTATCGCCCCTGTTAATGCAACCTAGCACTGCTGTTGCAGGTTATGTAAATCCAGTCTTTTTTTTGTAAGCTACTCTTTTAAATTCTCTTTTCTCCAATCCTGTAGGCTTTGTTTGATACTCAGAATGAATTACGTACCCACATCCCAAATTTCACCTTCAATCTGGGCTACTCAGGGAAATTTTTCCACACAGGTAAGAATACAATTGACAGAGTTTTCTTACTAGGCTCTCCAAACTTTTATTCTCTGTGACTGGTGAAAATTTACCTAATATAATTTGAATATTTAAGTATCTTAAAGCATTATGGTAACTGTGTTGTTGTTAGTTGCGAAGTTGTGTCCGACCCATCGTGACCCCATGGACAACGTTCCTCCGGGTCTTCCTGTCCTCTACCATCTTCTGGAGTCCATTTAAGCTCACGCCTACTGCTTCAGTGACTCCATCCAGCCACCTCATTCTCTGTCGTCCCCTTCTTCTATTGCCCTCAATCTTTCCCAGCATTAGGACCTTCTCCAGTGAGTCCTTCCTTCTCATTAGGTGGCCAAAGTACTTGAGTTTCAACTTCAGGATCTGGCCTTCTAAAGAGCAGTCAGGGTTGATCTCCTCTAGGACTGACCGGTTTGATCGCCTTGCCGTCCAGGGGACCCGCAGGAGTCTTCTCCAGCACCATAGTTCAAAGGCCTCAATTCTTTTGTGCTCAGCCTTTCTTATGGTCCAACTTTCACAGCCATACATTGCAACTGGGAAACCATGGCCTTGACTATACGTATTTTTGTTGGCAGGGGGATGTCTCAGCTTTTTAGTATGCTGTCTAGATTTGCCATAGCTTTCCTCCCCAGGAGCAAGCGTCTTTTAATTTCTTGGCTGCAGTCCCCATCTGTGATGACCTTGGAGCCCAGGAAGATAAAATCTGTAGGTAACTGTAGGAATGTCCAAATGTAATGATGTCTAAGGTTGTTGAGATGTGTACTTTATAAACCAACTGAAAGGCCACAGGATCTCACCTCTGCATTGAGTTCTGGACATGGAAATGATAGTGTTATATGTCTGCTCTCTCTACTTGGGGAGATCTAAGATTTTGGGGTTGACTTAATCCATGTAGTGTACTCCACTTAATGCTGCTCAGTGTAGAAGCTTTCAGATCTAGTGGTATGATTTTGTGAAGCTCTGCGTTCATTCATTGCTTAAACATTACTTAGCAATGATGATGCTTTGGTCCTGGCAGGTACAGATGCGGAGGACGAGGGAGATGATCTTCTGCTCTCTTATGTGAAGGAGTTTTGGTGGTTCCCCCACATGTGGAGTCACATGCAGCCTCACCTTTTTCACAATCAATCAGTGTTGGCAGACCAAATGGCCATGAACAAGAAATTTGCCCTGGTAAGTAAGATGCTGTCCAGGACTACTGCTGGAGTGAGGGGGGGAAGGTAGGGTTTTATGAAAAACAGAGGATGGTTTCACCATGTAGAATTATTAGTTGCTTACTTCTTATCCAGGACAAGTGGCCGTAACAAGTTTATCATTGCAAAATGAAACAAGAATTGTCAGAACAGTGTTGACAGTACATTAAACCACTAAAATGAGAAAGTCTTTAAATATTATTGATTTGTAACCAGTTGAATAATTGTTTTAGGTAATACAATCTGAAGCATTGCATCAGTGAAGAGTGGAAGGTTTGACTAATAGAGGTTCCCACATTGTTTCAATTAATGTTGTTCCTAGTAGTTCCCACATTGTGTGCTGCTATTTTTGTCCTTGTATGTGTCTTCTGTAGCTACTGATCTGCAGCTGCATTTTTTTTTTACTTTTCATATATGCTAAAAACAAATAGTGGTTCCTATGACACTATCCCAATATCTGTTTAATGTATGGTTCCTAGTAAATAGCATACTATTGCCCACAAGTCTCTGTTTTAAATTTAAATTGGGATTTTTGTTACTGAGTAACTATTCTCTCCAAAATTTAATCTCTCCAGAACCACAGTGATGGTTGTGTTGCATGTGAGCTCTCAACATTGCTCTAAAATGCAGTGGTTGCCTGGAATGTTCTTTTTCCTAGTAAGGACATACAGAGACAAATAGTATCTCAAAGTGACTCAGTTCCATGTTAGCATTTTTTTCTAGTTTAGTAGTGATTTGTTCCTAGTGCTCCCCAAATGTTTCCTAGTGTACTGTTGTCTTTTTTCCTGTTCTAATTTTAACATTAAGCATATTCATGCTACTCCATCACATCCAGATGCAGATGTGTTGGAATGTGCACCTGTAGCAGCAGAGGGGAAGGATTTGGCCAACTTGGAGCTTTCCCAGAGAGAGGCCCAGATGAAGAGACTGCATAATCCAAAGCTGGAGGGGAGAGTGAGGAAGAGATTCAGGGTAACCGCTCCCTAGAATCTCTCAGGATATATCTATAGTTTAGAAAGTTATAGCTTTAATTTGGCAAGAATCTGTCCACTGCAGGTGTGCAAATAAAGGATTGAACTTGATAGGATCTCACTGTCTTGTCTCTGGGCTTGGGCCTGACATTAGGAAGTGTATGTTAAAATATTACTATACTACTTTCAATTGAAAAATATCCTAGACCAAGGGTAGGCAACCTTGGCTCTTTTATGACTCGTGGACTTCAACTCCCAAAATTCCTGAGCCAGCCATGCTGGCTCAGGAATTCTGGGAGTTGAAGTCCACGAGTCATAAAAGAGCCAAGGTTGCCTACCCCTGTCCTAGACCCAGTTTATTCAATCAGTTTTTAATTCCAACGCTTTTGCTAGGTAATTCCCCACATCTTTCAGCACAGTACTTACCTGACCTTGTGAAATTACTTTCTTTTTAAAAAGAGCCTGTAAAATACTTCTTAGGGGTATGAAGTTTTGGAAGTGTTATTCACACTATTACATTAATTAACAAAAGCTCAATTAAAAGGGAGAGGAAAACAAAGCATAATATTGTAATTTTGCAGGCAGCACTTCCTAAGCTACAAATTTTCCTCGGGTTACAACGGCAATTGGGATTGCTGTTGCTAAGTGATGCAGTTATAAAGCATGATGCCAAGCAACCACTTCACTTGGAGAGAGACAACAATCCCTATTGCTGTTCTTATCCCAAGAGATGCGGGTCGTTAAATGGGAAGTGATGGCACTCCCAGATAAGGAGCACAGGTTGCTGCCGGACGGGGGGGGGGGGGGGGGGGGGGGGGGGGGGGGGGGGGGGGGGGGGGGGGGGGGGGGGGGGGGGGGGGGGGAAGGATTGGTGGGAGGGTACATGAGAGTTGGAGGTCAGGTGAGGCCCAGTGCAAGGCCACACATTAGTACAAGAAAGCCTGGGGGTGGATGGCATAGTGTGAGTGCAGGAGGGCCAGGGGTAAGGAGTGCAAGCGCAGGAAGACCGTGGAGATGGCTGGCCTGGGAGGAGCACAGGAAGACGGGGGGGATTTACCAGAGCGACTTATCACCGGCTTCCCTATTCATGGGGAGTCAGCAAGGAAGGTCGCAGATGGCAATCATGTGACCATGGGATGTTGCAACGATCATGCATGAGCTGGTTGCCAAGTGCCCAGATTGTGATCTTGTGACATGTAGGCACTGTGGCACCATAACTTTGAGGACTGGTTGTAACTACAACTTGTTCAGCCTTGTCGCAAGTTTGAACAGTTGCTGAACAAGTGGTCAGTAAGTGAGGAATACCCATAGTGTAATCCAATACTTTGAATTATTGCCTGGCAATTGTTCACATTCTACAGCATTGGTTTTTTTTTAAACTGCTGCTTATTCAAATGTGTTTTTAACAGTATTTCTTCATTTCCATAAAAGAATTGTTCAGATATGAAGTAGAATATTTTTCAGTTCAGCAAGGTAGAAATTTAGTATTTGTTCACTTAACTATCTCCTGAAAAACTGTGAAGCATGATGATTAAAAATCATCAGGCCAGTTCTGTACGAAACCTGCTTTAAATTGGGCATAAACGCCTGCAGAAAAACAGGAAACAATAAGACTTATGTAATGCTAGTTACTCAGTCCACTTCCTGGTCTGACTAATTCAGCAAGAGCAAAAAATACACTTTGAAGTACTGTATATCTTAAACTAGAATTCCATTTGGATTGTGCAGACTAAGTTAAATAAAATGAATGTCTGTTACTTGCAGTGTAATTATTTCATTAAAATTCCTCTGTTAGCACTAGAGAGTAACAGCTATGTATGCCTTTACTTCTCTTAGGAACATGGTATCCCCACAGATATGGGATATGCAGTGGCCCCCCATCATTCAGGGGTGTACCCAGTGCATGTGCAACTTTATGAGGCCTGGAAACAGGTGTGGGGGATCAAAGTAACAAGCACCGAAGAATATCCTCATCTCAAACCAGCCCGCTACCGAAGAGGATTTATTCACAGTGGAATCATGGTCAGTAGAAAACGTAACTATCTAAGAAACTTCATTAATTCTTTCTGGTAGAGCAATGAATGCAAACAGCTTGTTTTCCCCCCAAAATTGTTTTATAGAATACTAAAAAGAGGAATAAACCCTTTATACCACAAATTGGTCAAAGTATAAAGAAGGGGAAAGTTAGAAGAGAGTTTGGTTTTTTTAAAACTTATTTTTTCTTTGTTCTTTTTTTTAATAAGCATAAACAATATTAAGTAATAATACAGTGGAATCCTTGTGTTAAGCTTAAGATAGAAATCTCTCAAGCACCGGGGAAATCTGGAGATTCAGGCAGTTCAAATGACTATAAAGATTTATTGCAAGCTTAAGCTCTCTACAAGAATCTGACCAACTAGCAGTCAAGGGAAATGAGCAAGAGATAAGAAAGGCTGGATGGAGATCTCTTGTGGGCGCACAGAGATTTGTGACTTATGACGCGTTTTACCCCTCCAGGCTCAGCCTGGTCACCTCCTACAAAATCTTTATTATATACCATAACAATCAATTTAATGAATTTTGCAATTATTTATCAATGCTACAGTCAGCTGTAGATGTAAAAATTAAGCAATTTTATGCTTATTAATATTAACTTTTTAGAAAACTTAGTTAATATTGACATACTTTTTTTCTCTATCTTTAAAGATTTAAATTACCTAAATCATCAGCACTAATCTCTAGTCCAGTGGTAGTGAACCTATGGCACGGGTGCCAGAGGCGGCACTCGGAGCCCTCTCTATGGGCACACATGCCGTTGCCCCAGTCTTGCCTCCGCCTGCGACCCCCTCCTCACCAGCAGCCTCCCTGGAGGAGAGTCGTCCCTGAGCATGGCCCACGCGGAGCAGCGCAGCCAAGGACATGGCAGCCAGGCAGCTTAGACAAGACTGCCCTGACGCCCCAACGCACACAGTTGATGCTGCGGGGCGTGGGCAGAGGGCATGGCCGCCATGGCGCTGCTGGGCTGTCTGGGCAATCTGCAGTGGGCCCTGGAGGCAGTGAGTGGCCCTGCGGGCAGGCAGGGTGGGGCGGGGTGGGGCAGGGCAGAAGTGGAGCAGGGGCGGGGCCAGTTTTTGGGCACTCGGTCTCTAAAAGATTCGTCATCATTGCTCTAGTCAATTCTGTATAAATACCAAAATAATGTACCATTTGTGTTTCATAATCGTATAATAAAAATATATTAGTAAAAAATAAAAAATAATGAACCCAAACCATATTAAATAATAAATCTGCTTAAATTTGGATTTCAATATTATGTATTCCTGATTTCATAAAAAGAATTTGTCTGAGGCCCACAGTTAAACTTCAGAATCATTAGTTATTAGTTTATAAATTACACACACACACACAAACACACACACACACATCAACCTACATAGATACTATTTCTGAATACAGTTTAAAGTAGTTTACATGATTTTTTTTTCTTTTAACCCAGCTGTCAGTCAATGACCAAATAAAAAAAAGAGATTTGATCACTCTTTATTGAATTCTTGGACAGAATTTTCCAACAGGCCTTTGCTGTGAGGCCCTGTACAAGGATGCAACAGTAGACTCCTTTAGGAAAGGCAGTTCTCAAAACGTTCGTGTCCCGGGTCATGTAGGACCTTAAAGAATAAAAATTATTTTCTGGAATTATGCCTAAAAGCAAATTGGCAGCCCCATGTAACTGGCACAAAATTAGCTGAATAGGCACCTGTTTCTAACCCTTGATGCAAGATGGACAGCTGTGTGCTACCAAGTTGCTGCTTCTGAGTGCTTCAACAAAGGCACTCTCACGTAGAGTGAATTGCAGTGTGGAAATCAAATGCTATGGCAGTCGGGACTGATGTAGAACATTCTGTCCTTTACAACTGGTGTGGGCAGTGGGCAGTGGGGGAGCTGCAGTTGGAAAACAACATTTCTATCAACAGCTTTTAACTGCTTTTCAGAAAAATAAGTACCAGGGCCAGGTTGCGGCCAAGGTTTTCACCTAATCAGAAGGAATTACAGAGGTTCTCCGGTTTAACGGAGATGTATTTCTTCTGAAAAGTTGGCATTCATCACAAGAATGATTTACCATATTGTCTGGATTCATTTTCAACCTTTTTTTTTAAACACATCCCCTTGTCTGTAGCTTCCAAACACGTTTTAAGGCAGAGAGATGCTCTTCATTTCTTATGTACGTAGGTACATATTTGCCCATCATGCGATTCCCAAAGCACAATAGAAAGGTAAAAAAAAAAAAAAAGCAAGCGAAAGAAATTAAAGGCAAAAAAGAACAAATAAGTCTATTTTACAACAATACCAATCACTGTACCCCTGAAAACCTTTTTATTACAGGTAGTCCTTGACTTAACCACAATTGAACCCAAGATTTCTTTTGCTAAGTGAGACATTTCTTAAGTGAGTCATTTCTTAAGTGAGTTTTGTCCCCTTTTACGACCTTTCTTGCCACAGTTGTTAAGTGAATCACTGCAGTTGTTAAATTACTAACATATTTGTTAAGGTCTATCTGGCTTCTCCTTTGACTTTGCTTGTTAGGAGGTTGCAAAAAGTGACCGCATGATCCCAGGACACTACAACTGTATGTGTCATATGAATCCGTTAGCGAACACCTGACTTTTGATCGCAAGAACAAGGGGATGCTGTAAAGGTTCTAAGTGTGAAAAATGGTCCTAAGTCACTTTTTCAGTGCCTTCGTAACTTCAAACAATCGCTAAACGAACTGTTGTAAGTCAGGGAATATCTGTACTGAGAATATGAACCAGATGAATATCTTCAGTAAGTTAAGAGCACCAACTTGAAGGTTAGGGATTTTTTTTTAAATAGATTGAGGCTTCACACAGGTTTAAAACGCTTGTTTGTCCAGAATTACCTCTAGAAAATGGTCTTCATTATGAACAAAGTCATATTTATAGTATGATATTGGCTGACGATTCTGTTTCAGTTAGATCTGAGTTTTGAATAATGCTAATAAATACCTTATGAAAAGCAAAGAAGATAATATGGCATTAAGGAATAGTAGGTAATAAGTACTGGAAGTGGCATGCACTGTAACAAGTCTGTCGATAAGAAATGGGGGATGGGTGGATATTCAGAATAATCCAGATTCCAAGAAGTTTGTAACTAAGTTTTAATTAGAAAATGGCATAGTTAAGAGGCGGGCAAACTTACCTTGTAAGAAGGGAAAAGTATATTTGGAGCCTTTCATATTACTTATTCAAGAAAATTCTATTGCAAAACTACAAATACAATCTTGAATTCTGAGTTTTGCATGTTTTTGTGTAGTGTATATCTGTTTTAAGAAAATTAACATGTGTTAGAAATTTTATATAATGTCAAGAACATGCTTTGGACATTTTTAATATGGTTTATCTTAAAGGAAGACTTCTATTTAGTTACATGGTCAGTTTCAACTAGAATTTTATAACTGCAACTTGAAAATCATCTGAACTTTTATGTTAGAGAAAGAGAGACCCCATAATACTTTACAATAATTTTTTTTAAAAAAATAGCCGGAGCAGATAATCCTAGGACCTAAGGAATCCTTTACGATTTCCAGGTGCCTGGCCTTTTAAATAATTCCTAGTAAACCTATTAAACAAAAAAGAGCTAATAATCATTGAGTGAACTTTCCCCAGGGCCTGCCTTGGTTGTTATGATGGACTGCACACTGTTCACGAAAGTTTCTGATGGCCATCAGCGATTGTTTCTTCTTCCTGAGATAGTCTAATCAGCTTGAAAGGAGCAGCTGCTGTGTACTTGGCCTTTGTTCTCTGATTCGTGAAAAAGCATAAAATGAACATAGGAAGAAATTTTTCTCCCTTGGGAAAGAAGGAACTGGAACAAAGTTTGCATCCCAAATGCATGTACCAGATGCAAATTGTACCCTTTGTCTCAGCATGTACATTTAGGGTTGTTTTTTTTTGGCAAAGACGGGCTATGATAGGCTGTGGCTTTGCCAAGGCGAAGCAAATGATCTCAGTTATGTGTCTAGTTTCTCCAGCGGCCACTGCTACAGTGTCTAATAGGAGCACAGGACAGAACTTCCTTCATAGCGTCCCACTTATCAGGATTCTGCCTAGGGTATCCTAAATTAGGTTAAGGAGGCAAACTGTGCAGACCCAGCACGACAGGACTTATATCAAGCCAAAATAAAATAAAACAGTTTTCAGCACAGTAGTATTTCAGCACAGCTTACATATAGAGTGAAACTTTAAAAATCATGCATAAACGGAGAACCTCAGCAGATGAAAAATACCTCAAGACAGACTTTTTGGTTCTCCTTAAATTAATAATGATTTTTTTTAAAAAAAAGAATATGTTTTTGTATTTATGATCAGCCCCAGTGTCAGAGGCTTTTTGTACCCTAATGTTTCCTTTAAAGCATAATGAAGCATAGTTTAGTCTGATTCATTTGACATAAATCAGATACCAGGAAACACAGATTCTTCATTTAGCTTTTCTTGCTCCAGTGTGGGGATGGGAATTGGGGCTTAGTTGTTTTCTGGAGCAGATTGGAAATTATTCTTTACTTTAAAGTTGAGAGGTACTAAAATAGGCAGGCAGTCTGCCTTGGTTTGAGCTGATAGACTTGAAGGGGGGGGTTGTGTGTGTGTGAAAGAGAGAGAGAAAGGGAGAGAGGGAGGGAGGGAGGGAGAGAGAAAAGAACAACATAGTTGGAAGGGACTTTGGAGATCTTCTAGTCCAGGGGTCTTCAAACATGGCTCTTTTATGACTTGTGGACTTCAACTCCTAAAATTCCTCAGCCACCATGCTTGGCTGAAGAATTCTGGGAGTTGAAGTTCATAAGTCATAAAAGGGCCAAGTTTGAAGACCCCTGTTCTAGTCCAACCCCCTGCTCAGGCAGGAAACTCTATACTATTTCAGACAAATGGTTCTTCAGTCTCCTTAAAAACTTCCAGTGTTGGAGCATCTACAACTTCTGGAAGCAAGTTGTTAACTGATTAATTGTTCTGTCAGGAAATTTCTCCTTAATTCTAGGTTGCTTCTCTCCTTGAAGGAAGGAAGGAAAAGAAAGAACAGTTATGCACTTATACAGTGGTTCTCAACCTGTGGGTCGGGACCCCATTTGGGGTCGATCGACCATTTCACGGGGGTCGCCAAGCAAGGCTGTCCGCCAATTTTTTTGTCCGCCATTTTTTTCCCCTTTTCCGGCGGGTGCCTTACCTCCCTTGGGCTGGGCCAGCTGGTGGTCGGCCTGCTCCGTCTCTGCCGCTTGCCAGCTATGCCTCGGACGGCGCAGGGGGCGGAACCATGCATGCGCGGCGCTCCCGGGCAGGGAGTCCTCGACTTACGACCGGTTGGGTAGTCCTCGACTTACGACCGGTTTAGTCCTCGACTTACGACCGGTTTAGTCCTCGACTTACGACCGGTTGGGGTCGCGGCATTAAAAAGGTTGAGAACCACTGCACTTATATATGAATGACTGTGTTTATGTGTGAAAATGTGAACCCCAGTATCATGGTACAGGATCAATTCCACCCATACTAAAGACTTCTCCATCTCCAAAGTCAGTAAAGAGTGAATACAAAACAGTAGGAGGTTTGGTTTTAAAAGCCTTGAAAAGAAGACCCTAATATCCAAATAGAAGGAATTAATGCAGGCTTTCCAAATCTGACAGGATGAATTTGTGGGAGATCTGTTGAGCCTACCTATTTCTGCAGAGGGACACTTTAGACCAACATGCTCTCCATGATCCTGCATGTTTTGGGGAAAAACGGTGCAGAGTAAAATTAAGCAGTATACAATAGTCATAGAAGATGGCAGTGCATAATAAAGCATTATTGGTCACATTATCTGCAACTCATCCTTAGCAAAGTCAGGACACCTTGAACGGCTTATCTGGGATTTGTAAGAAATAGCGCAGTGCATTTTAGATTCTTTTTTAATTTGCTACTTGTCTCCCCGCCACCTCCCTTCATTTTTTGCTAGGTTCTCCCAAGGCAAACTTGTGGATTATTTACACATACCATATTCTATAATGAATATCCAGGCGGCTCGAGTGAATTGGATAAAATCATTAATGGAGGCGAGCTTTTTCTTACTGTTCTCCTTAATCCCGTAAGTATTACTTCAAGGACCAATGAACTGAACCCTTGCAGCAAAGAAAAGGCGGGATATAAACATGATGATTAAGTTAGAGATCCATTAGCTACTGAAAGGTTCTGGAGTTGATAAATTCTAGAGCTGAATAACTTTCAGAAAAGTATGTATATGTGTAGGAGAGGCTCTGTGTGTGTGTGTGTGTGTGTGTGTGTGTGTGTGTGTGTGTTTGGATGAATGGATAGATAGAAATGATTCTGAAATGATTCAGAAGCTGAAAAGGCTTTAGGCATAAGAGTTAAGCAAGAGCCATAAACAGTAATATCATTTCAATAATTCCCTGGTCAAAGTTTATTACATGGTATGGACACAGTGAAATAAGTTAAGTAAGGGTACAATTAGGAGTGCTGCCAAGCAAACATTTTTTTCCCCCTGAAATCAACAGAAATTAAAACTGGGAGAAACTGATTGAAGTTGGGAGTAAATTTAGAATAGATGAAAGCATTCTCTGACTCAGCATTTAATCCACTTATGGAATATACAGTAGTGGCCAAAATTGTGAAAACCTTTTGGGAAAAGTGTATTTTTGAGGTTTGAGGGCTAATAACACCACTTTTTTTTGGTAGTAGTACTATAAAATTATATATCGATGGAAAGATAATTTAATCAACAATGTAATGCAACAAAGTTTGTTCAATTATCTGTACCGTATTCTATGAAAAGTTATAGCCAAATAACCAGAAAAAGGAAGCACAACTTGCTTAGGTTGATATCAGGTAGCTTTCCTTCATCTGATTGTAGCCAGTGAGCATGAGTGTTTAGAGAGCCAATCAGGTGTCATCTTGTTTTGGCAATGAGCCAATCAGATCACAGTAGAATTCGTTAATTGATGTCATATATTGAAGCTGAGAGGAGGACATTTGTCAGTGTGTTATGTGATCGCTATCAAGTTGGTTGGGTTTTTTTGTGTTCTTTCATTTAGTGAGCTTGTAAAATGTAATCAAATTAAAGTAATGGTGCAAAGAGTTGACTGGTTCCCCAGAAAGCGATGTAAAATAGTATTATTAAGTGAACAAGGCTACAGTTGTAAAGAAATTAGAAGAAAAATTGGTGGAAACTTAACCAAAGGTGGCATTTCTACTGTACACTTTCCCCAAAGCTTTCCACAATTTTGGCCACTACTGTAATACCACAAGGTGTGCTAATAAGCTTGGATACTTTTTAAAAGGGCAGAAATGGTTCCCAGGTGCACTGTTCTTTGTAGAAAATATGGTAGGTAAATAGTAAAGGAGAATCTTTTTTTAAAAAAATTAAAGTGAATTAACAGAAGATATGCCTTGTATTGTTGAAGGATAGTTTACTTCTTTTCCTAAATATAAAGATTTTTTCTTCTTCATCATGTCTACATTTTTAAACTTCTTTGGGATGTTTGGCTAATACAGAGGTCCCCAACCTTTTGGGCACCAGGGACCGGTTCTGTGGAGAGAGGTTTTTCCGCAGACAGGAGAGTGTGTGGTTTTGTGTGCTGCCTGCATTTCACAAATGGGGCTTTGCTTGCTTGTGTGGCCTGATTGCTGGCATGCCGCGGCCCGGTACAGTCCATGGATCGGGGGTTGAGGACCTCTGGGCTAGTGGATTAAAACGTTATGGCCCTTAATGCAGGAAAGCATTTTTTGTGGTTTTTAGTTAGTTCATATACATTTTTTTTGTTCATCTGCAAATAAATGTTTAGTGTTTCACTGCAAAAAATCCCTGAATACTATGGTAATTATTCTGATCTATTGGTTTCCTCCCCCCTCTCTTCTTCCCTCCCCTGCACAGATCAGTATCTTTATGACTCACCTCTCCAATTATGGAAATGACCGTCTGGGTTTGTACACCTTTAGACATTTGGTCCGTTTTCTGAACTCCTGGACTAACTTGAAGTTACAGACATTGCCACCTGTGCAGCTGGCACAGAAGTATTTCCAGATATTCTCTGAAGAAAAAGACCCCCTTTGGCAGGTGTGCATTAACTGCCTCCCTGGGCCTGCATTGCAAAATTTCCACTGTGTTTTACTGTTTTGTCTCTTCCTTGGTTTGAAAATCTGGACAAGTAGTTGCCTGTTATATAATACTCAGTTCAATTCAGTTAATTGCGGCCATAGACCAGCAGGATACTTAATACTCCCCAGGAAGAGTGGCAGATGTGAAATAACGTTCTGTGAAATGTGTAGCGGATGGGGACTTGCAACAGTATTCAGGAGAGTTGCTTCTTTCTATCCGATGAGCAACAAATCTCATCCGGTCACCCCTTTCAGTTGTACATCTGATTAGAAAAAGAGTATTCTGATAATTAGATCTCAGTATTGGTCCCCTGGAGAAGGGAGAGCCTGGTTTTGAAATATATATATATGTATATTTTCTTTTAAGAGGGGGAAAGTCATAAAAAAAACCCTATAGCTTCCGAAGTATGGAGCAGACCCAGCACAGTAGTGAAGTAAAAGATGGTATCTTCCTTCCTTCCTTAAAACTTACAACCACAATGGAGGCCAAAATTTCTGTCGCTAAGCAAGGCAGTTGCTAAGTGAGTTTTGCCTGATTTTACGGCCTTAGTACCCTACAGTTACTAAGCGAATCATGAGGGTGTTAAGCAAATCTGGCTTCTCCCATTGACTTTGCTTGGTGGAAGCCAGCTGGGAAGATTACAATCGGTGATCACATGAGCCCAGGGCAGTGCAACTGTCGTAAATACAGTTGCCAAGTGCCCAAAATTTGATCACATGGGGATGCTACAACAGTCATAAGGATGAAAAACAACCATAAGCCTCCTTTTTTCTGTGCTGTTGTAACTTCAAACAGTGACTAAATGAATGGTTGTAAGTCAAGGACTACCTCTACTTGAAATTGCTGGCTTTTGAGAGAGCTCTTCAGTAAGAGCAGTTGGGCTATAAAAACCCTGTTCCCCTGGATGCCCTGGCTGATTCCCAGCATGTGGTCATGTTTTAGGATCCTTGTGAGGATAAGCGCCACAAGGACATTTGGTCCAAAGAGAAGACCTGCGACCGGTTCCCCAAGCTGCTAATTATTGGTCCTCAGAAGACAGGTATGGTAGTAGCTGATGTCTGCTGTATGCTTAAATATATTATCCCAATGATTAGATTACAGTATCATTTTAAACCATAATATATGAAGTAAGCCACAATTGACTGACCCTGTACAATCCACTACTCCAAAACTTAACAAATCATCTCAAGGTGTATTTATTAGAATAAGCAGTTTAATAGTCTTCAACTTATTGTCAGGGTAAGGAGAATTGGCTGTTTCAAGTAATGGTGAGTAAAATTTGTGAGCCATTGAACAGTTATTGTTGGTGCCATTTGTCATTACCCATGATTCATGGTTCAATATAGGAAACTGGGATAAAATAAATGAAAAAAAACCTTATCCTTTTACCTGAATTTATTTTAGAGAGAGATTTTTTTTTTTACAATGGCAATGTAATTCTTCCTCAGAGTTGGAGAAGCCACTGCCAAAAACATTTAATATAATTGGAAATCTGTTAATATTTAGACTAAGTCTACAAGGCTGACAGAAATAGAAAATATAGGTTAAAGACTCAGGCTTTACACGAGAAGCTTTTTTCTTGCCTGTGAGATGACAGCCGTTTAAAAGGCCATTTACTCATGTAGTAGGATAAAATATCATATATGCCGTAGTTAAGAAATGCACTGGGGTTAGTATTGGTGTTTAACATTTTTTTATTGAGGACTGAACATATCGAGTCTGCTTATCCCTAGAAATATCTCGATCTGTATTTCTCAACCTCAGCAACTTTAAAGTCCTGTGGACTTTAACTCCCAGAATTCTCCGTCCAGCATGCTGGCCAGAGAATGCCAGGAACTGAAATCCACACACCTCAACATTGCTGAGGTTGAGAAACGGCGATCAAGAGTGTAAAATTCTGACAGAAGATTGACCGAAAAGCAGTTTTTTTTAGCTCTTTGTCCCCCTGCCCCATTTCTTCTCTTCCTCCTTGAAAGGTACCACTGCCCTCTATCTCTTCCTTGGGATGCACCCTGACCTGAGCAGTAACTATCCCAGCTCGGAGACCTTTGAAGAGATCCAGTTCTTCAACGGACATAATTACCACAAGGGCATTGACTGGTAGGCTTCATTTTGTAGCAACTCTTGTGGTGGGGTGAGTGGATGAGGAACTGTCCTTCCAGTTATATTTTGGCGCATAAGTGACACTGCAAAGGAACGAAGGAACAGCCTGTAATTCTTCTAATCTATTTTGCTGGAATGTTCTGAAAACCAAACAGATATCTAGCAAGCAAGGGGCAAGCTTCCCTTCGAATTTAGATTTGTGGAAGAAATACACATATTTAGCTTCTAAGGTTTGTTTAATTAATTAATTAATTTTATTTGCCACCCATCTCATTTCGAAGCAACTCTGGGCATCTTACAGCGGAAAATATTAAAATCATCAAAAGTGAATATTCCTAACACAATAAACTAAAGTACAAGCAAAGTAAAATCGTAGTTACAAGATGGGGAAGGAGGGAGCCAGATGCACGGGGTGGGGGGAGGAGGTGGGGGAGGTGGGATTGACTCTTAATTAATCAACCACCTCCAGTGTGATATCCCCCGTTGGTACCCCAAGCCATCTGGCAGAACCTAAGGCTCTTGGGGAAGGTCAGAAGGTCTCCCCTCAAGGGGTAAGATACTCCAAAGGGGCAGGAGCCAGGTTGCTTCTTCTACTTTGTCAGCCAACCATCTCTGTAAGCCTGAAACACAGAATCGTTACACAGGTTTTATCTGATTCCCGCACCAGGTTTCTGCAGTGATGCCTTGTAAACATGTGTTAATTCTACTGGGCTAAGGTGTGAATGAGGAAAACAGGATTTTGTGTTTCATGTCTGTTGTAACGTTTCCCCCTCCTTTCTCAAAATGTACTATTCATTCCTATCTGTTTGCTTGGGAGGAACGGTGTTCAACAGCTGGTCTGTTTGTTTTGTGTTCATTGGTTCATGCTGCATTTGCCGTATGCTTAATCTTTTCCATAAATGTAATAAACTGCAGTCTGTTAATTCTTTGATCCAGAAGAATGCTTCATTGGTTGTTCAGGCTTAAGTTCTAAAATCAGCTACATTCTAATGACTGTCTTGACTAATACGGTTTGGGGCTGGAAAGAAACCTTTGATGTGTCTTAATCCTTGTTCTGTTTAAAGTGGCATAAACAATTGACATTGAGGAAGAATCTGAAACTATTTCTGCATTGCTTCACCCAATCTATTTTTCCCTTTCTGCTGCTGGTTTTTTTTTTAAGGTATATGGAGTTTTTCCCCATTCCTTCCAACACTACTTCTGATTTCTATTTTGAGAAGAGTGCCAATTACTTTGATTCAGAAGTCACGCCAAGGCGGGCTGCTGCACTGCTTTCCAAGGCAAAAGTAATCACCATCCTCATCAATCCTGCAGATCGGGCCTACTCTTGGTATCAGGTAAGCTGCTCCATGCTGGTGTTGTCTTCTTGACCTAAAGCACTACACATTAGTGGAAAGGCAAGCGTAGATATTAAACATAATAACAGCAGCTCTTATGTCTTTAGAGAAGCTCTTCCTGCCTGCTCACCAGTCTGCAAGGCTCTCTGAAGCAACAATTTCCCTTTACTGTTAGAATTCAGCTTTCTAGATTGTTGTGCCTCAATTTTTTCCTAGATCTCATGTGTCTTCCTCTCCTTCCTCCACTTTCCTCTTTCTTGTTTCCTTTCTGCTTCTTTGAATGTCTCTTGTTCCTCTTCAGCAGAGGGCTGTCAATTGTTTTTTCTTCTTCTTCTTCTTCTTAATAGCATCAACGGGCACATGATGATCCAGTTGCCCTGAAGTACACCTTTCATGAGGTGATTACAGCTGGACCTGAAACCTCTCAGAAGCTTCGGACTTTACAGAACCGTTGCCTAGTACCAGGGTGGTATGCTACCCATATTGAACGCTGGTTGAATAATTTCCATGCCAATCAGGTAAGCAAGTCATGAATCTTTAGTTTTACCTTCTCAAAAAACAAAATGGAGAGGGGGTTCAATGAAGCCGAATGTTTATATACACAACCATATATTCAGTGCTCTTTGTTTCTTATGGAAGATGCATATGTTTTCTGGAATGTTGGAATTCACTGTATGTGGATTCCACCTGGCTCTGAAAAGTCGGTAAAGAGATTCCCTGAGAATTGGATGAAACGTTTAGTTCCTTCCAATGGTAATTATTGTTATCCTGTGAGATCAGTTAAGAATAGGACAAAAAAAAAATCACCATGCTTGTGTTTTATTTTGAAGTGAAGGGAATGAGAGATGCAGCTGTGTACTTTGTCAGCTGGCCAATGTCAGAATGTATTAAAAATTCTATTACTCCAACATTATCTTTCATGGTTTTTATAACATTAAGAAAGAAATCCATTAATGACATGGTGAACATTTCCAAGAAAACTTGCTTCTGGCCACAAAATGCAGATCTCTTTCATGGGTTGATACAGTACTTAAAAAGCAGGCGATTATTACATCCTGTGACAACTGTAGTCGGTATTGCAACTTAGAGTCAGCATATATGCAGGCCCAAGTTTACAGTCATGGGGATAGTAAGCAGTTCGCCAGAGACAGATAACATTCTGGTCATTCATTCTTTCATTCATTCATTCATCATTCATTCATTCATTCATTCATTCATTCATTCATTCATTCAATAAATCAATTAAATTTATATGCTGCCCATCTCACCATCGAGCGACTCTGGGTGGCTTGCAACAGATAAAAACAAGAATATAAAAATATTAAAACAATTAAAATTAACAGAAGTTGGCTAAACTGGGAACCGGTACATGAGTAAGATGGAGGTGGGATCTTCTTAGTCCATTAGTCACTTCCAGCATGGAATGCCCCCATCAGGGCCCCAAGCCAGTCTACAGAACCAGGTTTTGAAGGTCTTTCAGAAAACCAAGAGGGTGGGGATGGATCTCGCCTCCAGAACATCTTTTAAAGATCTCGTGTAGAATAAAGCCAAGCAAGTGAGCCCTACAAATATTCCCAGTTAAAAACATAGGCCATGATTGTATTTAGAAAGCAATCTGGCATTTTCTCAGTAATATATTGTGCCACAGAAGCTAGAGTGAAAGAGGAAGGGAAATACTTTTTAAATGATACAACAGGAGCAAGATGCTGATGGTTGTTCGTGGAGGAGCAGCAGAGACTCAGCTGTGGAGCAACAGAAATCTCAGTCTTCACCTCCCACGAAAGGGAAGAAACCTCAAAATAAATTGCTAGCACCTCTTTGTGCATGAAACAGTTGCTAAGGGAAAAAGAAACGAAGCAGCCTGGATGTTCACATATTTGTTCTGTCATTGCTTCGTTTTGCATACAACCATACGGTAAGCTCGATATATTCAGTGAAACTGTATGGAAGAAAAATCTGGTCATGCAGTACAAGGATATCTAAGGCCAACAAGCCAATTTTCCCCTGCAAAAATGAATATATGCCACCTGATACTCAGGAGCTGGGAGAAACAGGCATTCTGTAGGACAGATATGTCAAACTCGCAACATCACATGATGTCGCGCAACGTATCGGGACGGTTTTGCCATTGCTGGCAATGGGGTGGGTGCGGCTTCTGGATGACGCGTCCGGCCTGTGGGCCGGCAGTTTGACACCCCTGCTGTAGGAGATGACCAGGCTGATTCTGAGGGAGGGATCAAATGCATCATCAGTCATGAGTCCCTTCGTGTCCACAAGAGATCTAAATCCAGCCCACCTTGAATTCCTTATCTACCGCCAAATTGCTTTGACCATTAGTAGTTCAGATTCTTAGAGAGAGCTTAAGCTTGTAATCATTTTTTATACTCATCTGAACTACCTGGATCTCCTGACTTCTTTAGTGTCTGACACATTCCTAACAATGAGAAAGCAGATTGCCTACAAACCCTGCAGGTCTTTATGGTGACAAAACAAGGTACCTATTTTTAGTTATTTGGGGGGTCATTGTAGATGAAATGGAAATAAATTAACTCAGATGTTGAATCCAAATTGTGACATAAAAATAACTGGAGTAGTCCAAAAACCCATGTGGAAGTGCCTTAATAATAAACTAAATAAAATGCAAAACATTTCAAATTGGAAAACTAATGACATAAATAATCTAGCTCAGAGTGTTGGCTGAAGTAACCTCACTGAATTTAGGATTTTACTGAAAATCTTTTGGACAGAAACCAGGAAAGCACATAAAGTTTCTTTGGGGTCTGAAATCTAATCTATAAGCATGGGGTCTCTTGAGTTTCTAGACCCGAGATGGATAACTATGTTTCAACATCTTCATCAACGATCTGGACGAGGGGATATTTGGGGAACTCATCAAATTTGCAGATGACACCAAGCTGGCAGGAATAGCCAACACTCCAGAAGACAGGCTTAGGATACAGGAGGACCTGGACAGACTTGAACATTGGGCGCTATCTAACAAAATGAAATTCAATGGTGAAAAAAGTAAGGTTCTACATTTAGGCAAGAAAAACCAAATGTACAGGTATAGTATAGGGGGTACCTTGCTCAATAGTAGTAACTGTGAGAGGGATCTCGGAGTCCTAGTGGACAATCACTTAAATATGAA